CCATCCTCAACTCAAGAATTTGCAGCCTGGTGCAGCTAATGACAGGTGAATAAAACGCTTCTTATCATATTTTGGCATGTAATTGCCCAAGTCATGTCCAGCTGGTTAAAAATTGGTTTGAGATCAACTTGTTAGGTAAACAAATCAATTTGAAACAAATTTTGAAATCGGTTAATTTCTGAGTCTGGCTTGGACTCGCTTGATTTGTTTAAAACTTGTTTGGCATTAGCTCAAAAATAAATATATAAAGCTTGAAACATATTTTTTAAGCTAGTTAAGTTTTTAAACTATATTTGAACTGATTACTTAGCTAGATCCGCTTGTTTACAATCATAGTTGAATTGTGTGTGGTTTTACTCTCTTAATACATAGATTTTCCTTCCCAACCAGTACATGGATGGACAAAATTTTGCAAGATTTGTTGGTAGAGCTCACTCCTCAAAAGTCTTATTCATGAATTTGTTTTCAGTGTCCAATTATGTGTTTGGCATACACCTTTTGCAGCTTTATATTCCTTCTCAAGTACACCATTGGTTTATGTTTGTAGAACTTCCAAATGACGAAAAAATATGTATGTTAACATGGACTGATTGGTTGTTTCTTTTCCCTATTTCTATTATGATAACACAGGCTTTTTCTGAACAAAGAGAATGTGGGGGAGAGAAGTCAAGCTGCAACAGACCTATGCATGTTATCTCCTGCAATTGGCCTAAAAGAGAACCAATATTGCATTCCAAAGCAGCAGCAGAACCCATATGGTGAATCCTCCCGATCTGAATTTGGACTCGTTTGTTCCGACTCCTTGCTTAACCCTCTGCATAAAAACTCCTCCCACATCAGCTGCAGAAACTATGGTTCCTCCCAAGACCTCAATGATCGTGAAAACGGCTCACAACATTCAGTAGTTCGTCAATTCATGGACGACTGGCCTAAAAACCACACTGATCATCATCATCGCTCTGCCGTTTCATGGCCCAATGTCGATCTACAGGCAGACAGGACCCAACTATCAATTTCAATACCTGTGGCTGCCTCCTCTGATCCCTCTAATGAAAAACTTGCTCTCTCACCGCTGAGATTGTCCCGAGAGCTTGAGATGGGTTTGGGAGTGGGCAGTGTAGTGAGTGAACCAAACCAAAGGCAAGTGAATTGGATACCTATATCGTGGGAAAGTTCACTGGGTGGACCTCTTGGAGAGGTATTGCATAGCACTAACAACAGCAGTGGAGGTGATTGTAAGAGCTCATCGGCTCTTAACCTTATGACCGGGGGCTGGGACACCAACCCTAGCGCCCAGTTAGCATCATCTCCTACAGGAGTCCTGCAGAAGATGACATTTCGGTCACTTTCTAACAGCAGTGCTGGGAGTAGTCCGAGAGCAGATAACCACAAAACCCATGAAGGGAATTCATCCTTGTTGCCAGCATCATAATCATTTGACCTCCAACTAGGAAGATGATAATGGAAGGAGGAAGAGTTATTTTATTTTATTTTATGTAGCTTTAGAGAGAGTGAGAGAATTTGTTTAGTTCTGTAATGTGTTTAATTTATGGATAATGGATTTTCTTAGTGGTAAAACATGATTTTGTAAAACTCTTCAATTGCTATTTTAGGTAATCAATTAATGTTGTATTGTTGTGGATGACGACGACGATCTCAAGGTTTTGTTTGGGTTTTTCATGTGCACATGTGATGTTGGTAGATTGTTTTTATAGGGAATTGCTTCTAAGTAGGTTGGAGGCATGTTGGTCGTTGGGTGGTTGTTAAGATGTTAAATGTGGGTGTCTAGTTTCAAGGCACCCAACAGCCCTAATAACATGTGCAGTGATCCGTCCCCCAAGATCTTGGTCCCAGTCTAAAGGTCTTTTCACATAGCAAATTAATTGAAGGAGTTTGGATATAGGGTGGGATAGATGGACACATAATTTTGGGGTCTGGATCCCATGCTATTGTTATCCAACAATAAAAGTAAGAGTTTCTTTCAAGTTGGCCTTTCAATTTGTGAGAGCATTTGGGTTTTACAGGCCTATTTTTTGATCGATTTTGGTGATTCAAACAGTTTATTTTTTAAGATTTATTGAGGGGAATATTTATGTAAAAAATCAAAATGATCAAACATCGATAGTTATATATTTGAATCAAATTTTTATTTTAAAAATTGAATAGCTATTCTTGAGATTATATTTGTCTTCCATTTTTTAAAAACAAATATTAGTCAAACATATAGTTACTAATGTCCAAATATTTTAATTTTTTACATGAATATTCTACTTAACGAGTCTTAAAAAGTGAACCAGTTTAGATCACCAAAATCGGTCCCAAAATGAGCGTATCAAGCCCAAACACTCTCAAATTGAGATGACAACTTGAAAATCCTAAAACTAAGCAGACATGCAAAATGAAGAATGAAACACAAATATTCCACAACACACCTTTTGTGAGATATCTTTGTTTTATTTTGTATTTTGTATCTATGCACCTACAGCATTGTTGGCTATCTAATATTGTTGATATATTTTGAACCACAAGTACTGTTATCTAATGTTGTAAAATAATTAAGATTAAACATATTCGATTTTGATGACATGAACATAAAAAATAAACAAAATAGAAGATTCCTACTGTGAGTTGTGAGTACATTCTTCTCTCTTTGAGAGAGGAAGAGAACAAGAGGCGAAATGAAGAGAGCAGAAAGTTGCCCAACCTTATGGAAATCCAAGAGCCACTAGCTTTGGGTGCACCCAAATGGATATGGGTTGTGGGACAATGACCCGGCCATATTCAAACACAAGCTTAACAAAGTTCCATGACCCATGGACCTAGACCTGGTTCGGTCCAGTCTAGGTGCCATTGGGGTTGCCCAACCATATGGAAATCCAAGAGCCACTAGTTCTGGGTGCACCAAAATGGATATGGGTTGTGGGCCAATGACCCGGCCCAAGCCCAAGCACATGCTTAACAAAGTTCCACGACCCATGTAGATAAACGTGGTCCGGTCTAGTCTGGGCAACAATGGGGAGTGTGTGATAATTTTTAATAACAAATTTGGTCCATAGTCTTGGCACAATTCCATCCACCACTTATTCATATCTCACTTCCTTCAAAAAATTTAGACGCCCAAAGGGCCGAAACCCTTGCAAAACTTTAGGATATAAATACTCATCAATGTATTCAACTTTCGCCAATGTGGGATAAGTGAATTTTCACCTTCCCAAAACCTCTACCATTATGCCCACTTTATGAGACAATGTGTATTCAATTTTTAATGGTTTTATCCCATTTTTTGTGTGGTGTAACCCACTCAGACTTACCTCAATTGATAGTTGGATCCTACTTTAATTTCATATTAAAGTAGCAGAAAAACTATAATTTTCCAACAACTAGAGTTACACAAAATACCTACAAAACTCGATTATCGAACCAATTTAACATCTATGGGTTGAGTTGAGATGGTTTTGGCTTTTCATTATATTGGTTCAATTTTTTATCTTAAAATCAGCCTGATAAAATAGAATTGAAACTCGGTTTAGACATGACCCTATATATAATATAAAAATTTTATTTATATTCACAAGTCTTTATATAATTGGTCTAATTGGTTTGTTGAAAGGGGAAAAAAAATGGTCTTCATACCAAAGTTTTTGTTAATCAGAATTTATTTTCGTTAAGATTCTTCTGACCCATCTGTGGAGGAGCTCTTTATGTCCCTTGAAGGTTCTGTGCATGGGGGTTTGGAGGCTCCAATGATTGATATCACTCAAGGCCAAACTCTACCTCATTCAGAACTTGGTGTGATCCATCTTCACCACTGCCACATCCAACTTCTAGCTCATTATCACATAATCTTCTCAGCAAAGGAATCTCTCTTTTGAAACAAGTTCTACCTAGACTACATTATGTTACCTGTGACATTCACCCTTTTGTTATAGCCAAGGAGTCTACTGAAAGTTCGCATATGCCTTCTTGCTTGACAATGTCTGAACCCACTTCAACTATCCATCCTACTATGATAAATTATACCCAACCTTTTTCTTCCTCAGACCCTTGTTAAGAAGAAACTTCATTATTGTTGGGTCAAACCTTGTTTAATCCATGAAGTACCCACACCAGTCTTATTGAAGCCCAACCCCTTGTTATCATGGGCCCAAATGTTTCGGCCCAAAATACTGAGTCCCTTGGTCAAACACATAGCAACCAGTAGTACCCAGTTACTTTATCCAGTGTTTTTTCTAGTGATTTGTGTTTCCCATTGTATTGCCCCTGATTTTACAAACTGTATTGCTTATGAGGGAGAAGAAGAGCCACATTCTTTGCCAATTGATGAACCAACTCTCCAACCTATCTTGGCTCCATTACCTCTTCAGTCTAGCTCAACAGCTCCATCATCATCAATGATCACTACGAAGAAACGCTCCCCTGATTTAGAGCCAGAACTTTCCAGTGGTGGTAAGAGACCTAGACTCATTCCCTATTCTCAAATGGATTCTCCTCTATGTATTTTAGATCTTTGCGATTTTCCCTTTTGTTTTGATTCTGGTTCCTTGTCTTTCTCTTTGTCCCCTCAGCCCTTGTCTTGGTTCCCTTCTTCTTTTCTTATCCCTTTTGAATCCAACTAGGGTTTCGGTGGTTGTCCCATAACAACCCCACTTAGCACAATGTAAATTGTAAGCTGGAACTGTAGGGGTTTGGGTCAGCCCTTGGCAGTTCGAGCTACATTTAAACTGATCCTCTCTCATGCTACTAATCTAATATTTCTTATGGAAACAAAACCTAATTTGATTTCTGTATAGCCTAAGTTTTCTAAATCTGGATTTTTTAATTGTTTTGGAGTTGATCCCATTGGGCTTAGTGGAGGTCTTTGGGTAGGTTGGAAGTCTTATCCCAAACTCTCTTGTCTTGTGTCCTCTCCCAATTTTATTCTTGCTAAAATCTTAGATGAAGTAGGTTTCTCTTGGCATATTGGTTTTGTGTATGGTCATCTGAATTTGGTAGATAGACCCCAAGTTTGGTCTTTTATCTCCTCTCATATCTAGAGTTTTTCTAGTCCTTTACTCTTGTGTGGGAACTTTAACCAAGTCCTTTTATATGAGGATAAATGAGGGGGCTAATGCCTTTTGTGTTCCAGGAAGCTTCTTTTTCTTTTGGATAATTGTGGCCTTTTGGAACTTAAAAATTGTGGCTCTTGGTTTACTTGGACTAACAACAAAGATGGTGAGGCATGCACTTTTGAAAGGCTTGATAGGGCTTGGCGTAATCAAAGCTTGGTTAGCTTTATTTTCTAGAGCCTTTATGGCCAATCATGGTATTTTTCGGTCTGACCATGCTCCCATCTCAATTAATACGAGACCACCTTTGTATAGTTTCCCTAGACCTCTTTATTTTGAAGCTTGGTGGCTTCACCACTCTTCCTCCTTTGAAATCATCCAATTCATTTGGTCTCTACCTATTCATGGTTCTCCCCTATTTCGTGTCGTTCAATAGCTTAAAATCATAAATAATGTTCTCTCTAAATGGGGTAAAGATATGAATGTTTCATTCTCTTCTCAAATTGAATCGGTTCAATCTAAGCTTTCTTGTGTTCAAAATAATCTTTCTGCTTCCTTCCTTGCATTTGAAAAATCTCTTACAGCTAAGTTGGATTTTCTTTGGAATTGTGAAGAAACTTTTTGGGCTCAACGGGCTAAAGTCCATTGGTTAGCTTTGGGGGATAAAAACATGACATTTTTTCATTCAATGATAAGATTAAGGAGGTCTAAAAATCACATTTGACATATAAAGTCTCTTTCTGGCTTTGTCATTCATGATGAAAAGGAAATCAAAAATACTTTCTTCGACTATTTCCAAGATTTCTACTTTTCTAGTAAGGATCCCTCTGATCAACAGTTTCCTACCATAAATGTCCAGTCATCTTTATCTCCTGCCCAAATTGATTTTCTAAACAAACCTTTTTCAGCTTGTGAGATAAAGGATGTTGTTTTTCAAATAGGTCTTCTCAAAGCACTTGGTCCTGATGGCACACCACCCATCTTTTTTCAAAAATGTTGGCACATGGTTTCTGTCCCCATTACTTTTGCAGTGCTCTCTTTTCTCAATTCTGGGCATATGTGTCACGCCCCAAAATTTGGACAATTAAATATTAAATTAGAGCTAAACCCCAATTAATATTCCATCATCCAAATTTTAGGGCGTGACAGTTTGGTATCAAAGCTCTAGGTTACCCTAGACTTGTGAGAGTTTAGGTGATCCTCGGATTGTGGAAACATGGGTTAGCTGGTTTAGGTTGGTGGTTGAATTTATTCTAAGTATTCATGAATGAATTTTTGTGTGTTTAACTTGAAGGTGATGGCTGGAAGATATAATTTGAGAAGCGTTGAGCCTAATGGCATCAGGGAAGAAACATCTGCTAACACAGCAGTAGCGGCGACTGCTACCGAGGCAACCGATACGGTGCAAGTTAATGTGAGGGAGATGATGGCTCAGTTACTTTAGGTTGTTTAGAACAATAATCAAGGCCAGCAGGGAGATCCCTTTGTGAAGAGAAACAAAGACTTTCGTTATTTGGAAGGTCAGAAATTCTCTGGAGATGGAGGACCCATTGTAGCTGATGCTTGGGTAAAAAAATGTGAGATGGTGTTTGGTC